CAGACCTTTTTGATAAACCATAGACATCAACCTATTATTTAATAATTGTACACCAGTTCAATCTTTTATTTAAAGATTAGATCCATGTTCAATCTTTTTTCAAAGATTTGACACCAGTTCAATCTTTTTTTTAAAGATTAGATCCATGTTCAATCTTGTTTCAAAGATTTGACACCAGTTCAATTTTTTAAAAAGATTATATCCAAGTTCAAAGATTTGACCCCATGTCAATCTTTTTCTTTTAAAGATTAAATCGATGTTAAATACTTTTGAAAGATGTATCACCAGTTCAAGATTATATCTAAGATAAATATTTTTTTTATAAAGATTAGACACCAGCTCAATATTCTTTCAAAGATTTGACACCAGTTCGATCAGTTTTTAAAAGATTTGACACCAGTTCAATCTTAATTTTTTAAAGATTAGATCTAAGTTCAGTCTTAAACCGGTCTTTCTGGTTAATAAAACAGCTTTCACAGTCCTAATTCATCTTAATGATTTTAATCTTGAATTAATTATAAAGTAATTTTGTAGTCCATAATAGTTCTGCTCGTTAGAAGTCGTTAGAATATAATTAAAGCAAATTATAAAAAAGCATTTTACACCAAATCCAATTTTCATAAAATAAATAATATATTTAATCAAATAAACGAGATAGGTCAAATATTTTGTTCGCTGGCTCTTACAAAAATTGGAAACTAGGAAAATTTGTGATTTTCAGTCAGCAACATTATGGCAAATGTATTATATGAAAACGTAGTTAATATATCTTACGTTTTTTTGTCGAATTTCGAAATCGAACCAAGGAATACAATGTTAGAAAACAACTATTAACGCACTTTACCTCCCTAGAAACATGCGACTGAATAATAACTTGTAATGTTTTTATACAGTAACATATCCATATTTTGTTACGTAAATCATTATATTATTCTATGTCAAAGTCACAACAATCTATATTAATCATTATATTTCTCTTGCATATTCATACACAAATTTATAATAAGTGCTAGATATAATTCTTACGATTGTCTACAATAAACATTTAAATTTGTTAATGTTTGTCAAAACAGCTTCATTGCACGAGGTTGCTTAAGTAGTTCATTTTTCTTTGATCTTCGATAAGCATTCATAAATTACAAAAAAAGAGCCTAAGGGAACTTTTCTTTGTAAATATAATCGAAATTTGACTCATATATTGTCAAGAAGGCAATGACTTTATTTGCAGATTCACTTAAATCTACCCTAGTATCATGCATAAAGTGCATCCTAAAACAAACAAAGCTACTTACAGTCTATAATCCTGTTCAACTTTAACATCATGAGTTTCAAATGAATTTAACGTTTAATCTTATATAATAAGATATTGAGTAGCTGAAATTAGGTCGCGTCATGTCACTAAATCTATATGTATACAATATGACAAATTTCTTGAACTATATACACATAACAGTATGTATACAACATATTTTGTCGACATATGGTTCTGCTGCTGGCTCGAATTTCTTAGTGTCAGCTATACCATGCCACTTTATATCCGTCTTAACCATTTCAATAAACTCAATTGTTCATGGCAGAATATTTTACTGCGCTCATAATTATGTTGCAATTTGAACTATTCTTTTTCGATACAGTACAACCATTTACCCAATACACACTTCATGGTTCACTTCATGATTTTGACCGCATTGATTAAACAGTTACAAAGAAAAAAGGTTTATTTTGTTCTGGCAACAAAAATTTGTCGTTACTTTCTATTCCCATTTAATGTTCCTTGCAATGCTATCACCACTTGTTAAAGTGCAAGTTTGAAGTCTAGCTCGACTGCAATAACATATTTAAGTAGCTTTTCACTGGAAAAGTGAAACAATTTTGATATATGTATATAGCATTTTCCTTTATATTATTATAAGTGGATACAAGATCAGCCGACCGGTATTAATGCCTATATTTTGATATACTGGTAGGTGCATTTTGGTTGGCGTTTATAACGCTTGATATCATAGATATTATTTAAGTCCATTTTTTTGAATGATCTGTGAATTAAATATTTTTTGTATAGAAATTGGTCTTGTGCATTTCAAACTTTATTAATGCGAGTCATATTTCTGGAGTCAGGAACTGAAAGTTTTGATTACAAGAGGTTAATTGAATGAAGGTTTGCATCTGGAAGTATCACATTTTAATGATATTTCTTATAAAGTCTTTAAAACTGTTTAATTTTACACGCGTAAGACTTCCCCAGTCATCTTAATTCTGGAATTCTTGAAATTGTGGTTCATGAAAATGTTGTTAGATTCTTCACAACTTTTGAAAAATATGTCATCAACGTGGCATTGAAAGCAACAACACGATTGCATTCAATCCCCTTTAAATCAATATAAGTCACGTTTTATTTTTGTTACAAAGCATTTTTTCCCCTAAAAAATATTTTGGACCACGTTCAGATACCCCTGAATCATTGTATCATTCCACTATTAAGGAACAAGGGTCATTACTATGTCACTACCGTTTAGAGCCTTTTGGAAGCTTATTTCACGTTTCATGAACATCAAGTGCAATAACTCCGCTTTCAATCACCCGAAAATGATCTAACTTGATCTTATGATTGCATTTACACAAAGCTGCACCAAATTTATAGTAAAAATTAAGTAATTTTTCAATCCCAATTTGGACGGATATACGTATGTAAACGTGTTAAAAAAAAGTTACTTACATGCATATCCCAGTAAACGACATAAATCCAGCATTAGACAACAGAATTCGCGAAGTCCAAATTCATCAAGTGCTAAATAAGGCTCTGTAATATCTTGAAACTATTATTAGAAATAGATCTATATTAATTCAGAAAAAAATAGAGATTCGAATGTGACATTTTGAGACATCTCACAATAAAAAGTGTCATGTTGCCATAGAAACCAACACACTATAATATAAATAAATCTCCATTTGTCAAAATTATTGATGGGATTTCTGGTAGTGGTTTTTTATTTATTTCACTGGGGATTTATTTGATGTAAACTGAAGTATATTAAGTCTTTTATTATATGGCAATGATCTTATTCTAACATTAATTGAATGGAATGCATTTGTCATGCATTTCCTGAGAGTATAATTATTAGAATATAAATAATCACATGTTTTTTTTAATTAGAGAAGGTGTAATGCGTTCAATACTTGAAAGTGATGAGATAGATTTAGCATTTATTGCTAATAGTAAAATGCAATTCATGTTTTCTCGTTTAAGTACGAAGAGCTGAACGCTTGTTTTTACACACCAGCTTTGTATGTCAAACCGGATCTGAGAAGCGGATCTCTTTCACCAAGTTTATTGCCATGTCCCTTTTTAAGAGTAGTTGCGCATTTGCTTCACATCTAAAAAAAAATTTTTCATTGCCACTCAGTTATGGGCACCCCAGTTGACTAATTATTATTTATTAGGGTATTTCACAGATAAGGCTTAATCGTGGAAATAAAAATTAGAGCCCTTTGGAATTGTTGCAGGAATGGGGGAAAGGTGACTATGAACGTAACATTGAGGCACCGAACTGCACGCAAAATTTCAAATCTTTCAGACAGATAGAAATGACTGTTTGTTCTTCAGATTGGGTCGGCTCGACTCATGGCAGGTATTTTTGACAGTGGATCTAGTACAAGGCAGGTGTAAGGGACATTCACCCATTATTTTTTATATATATACAAAAAATGAAATGAAATGTAGGAAGTCTTACGTCCAACTTTTCTGCACACTGTGTGCTAATGAAGAAAGAGGTTATATATACAGGACAGGCCAAGGTTATAAAATATAACCGAGTGTTTAAAAATTTAGTGTATTTGACGCATTGGGTTAAAAGCGAAACGTGGGGTTTAATTATTTTTTTTTTACTCTATTCAATAGTAGCTGCAACAGTTATTTCCAGTAATGTGAAATCGGATAAAAGATTTGTTACTTTGAGAAAAAAAGACATTTTCACATTAAGGGAGATAACCGTGTAAAAAAAAATAGAAAAATCACTCAACACACCCTAGCCCGGGGATGCAGACTTATTTGGGCTTAACTGTTGTCTCCAGCATACTTTGTTTCACAAGTTTTTGTTAATTTTAGATTATTTATATGGCTATTTAAACTATCAGTGTTGATTTAGTGTATGTAGGTCACACAGATGTTGGCTACAATATTAAAGAAAAGCACGAGATTTCTTATCACTTTCCCTTGGACTGTCCATCAGTACAGCTCACGTTAAAACCTTTCTCAAATATGTATATTTGTATTCCTGAAATATAAAATAAAACATTGATTATTCTCAGTAAATTCAAATAATGGAATACATTACCTTATTGATACTTTCATTTTTTTCGTCCTGAAAATAAGCAATATAATATAGTTAATTTTTCTTGATAGTACTTTTATTTATTTGTAACATATTTCTTTCAATAATTGTCATAGTCAAACTCTCCATCTCCGTCGTATACGCCAGCAAATTCATCTACTGCTAGATCCGAGCAATGAGCCACACCATGCAATTGCATTATCAACAAGGCTTTTCGGACTGCGGATAGACTTGCCCCGGTATTCCTCGACCTCTGCCACAATAATCAGTGAGAGTCAGTATGTACATGGGTCCAGGCTTCTTCCACCTCTCTCCTCCGGTTCATGCCCATATCATACATCATCTCAGTCACTACCCCAGTCATGCAACCCGCCAGAGGCAGGTGACAAAAAAAACCCAAAACATGAGGTTTTCGGTCCGAAATTATTGAAATTAAATGAAATGAATGGAGTTTTACGTCCTACTTTCCTGCGAATTCAATTCGAGGATCAATAAGTAACAAGGGAAAATAATATTGAATGGTTTTCGAATCAATACTTTCAATTTTAGCGATTATTCCCATAAATTCAGTGTGCTATATGAAAAACGGCATAATATTAACTCATTTTAGCAGTTTTAATAAAATGTAAGTAACATAAATATTTAATATTTAAACAAAAGTACAGTATTCTAAACAATAGCGTAGCTTGATTGAGAGGCTATACCACACTGATTATTATGATTTCTAGCTGTTAACATATAACCATCCATTCCCCAGCTGGTTCCCCAACTGAAATAGAAAAATTAAAACTTGAGAATCTATGTCCAGAAACATCATATCATTCTTGAATTTTTTTTCTGTTCGTAAGTGTGAGGTGTACAGTGGAGAGGCCTTTCAGGGTTAACTAGCTCAAGTCTTGGGATCGACAATTTTCTAGACCTTCAAACCAGAATTATACATCGATAAACATTTACCAACTATAAAAAAAAGTAACTCATCCATGTTATTAGTAATGTTCTTTTGAGGCATGACGACTTCTTCATGCAAGACTGACCTGAACTAATTTCTTAATGGATAGAGGGCAATGCTAGTTCAGTACGTTTGAGAGGTAGTACCATTTTCCATTGCTCAGAACGTACATTAATTCAACAATGATGTCGATAAATAATTGAAATGAACACGAAAAAAAAAAATAAATCAGTGGAAATTACTGCAACCGAGAACAAAATCCTAATGATAAAGGTGAAGTTACTCGTGTGCCCATGTGCCACTATGTATCGCTTCTGCAAGTAGGAGTGAAATCAAAATTCCCTACCTATTTTTAAATCTCCAGTAATCAGTACCGTCTTGAACACCATATCCCGTGACTACACCAGCATGGCATAGAATAGCAGGACTGCAATCTTTATTTACATAAACACCACTTTTATAAAACTGGAACCCTAATAATTGGTAAATGGAGTAAATTTGGAGTATTTATGCAATAATGTTCGATGTCAGATACTGGTTGACGTTATTTACACCATAGCATCATCAAATAGATGAACTACATTCTTGTCGAAAAGTTTGAAACGAGTTTTTGGTTTGTGAGGTATTTTGTCATAATATTGTTCCTTCACAGAATCTTAGTCACGATGTGGAGTTTTACAAACCTTGAGCTTGGGCATCAATAGCAACAGCAATAGGTCCAATCTCAGCCACTGCTTTCTGAAGAGCTAGCTCGTCACCTTTAGGCAAATCAACAAAATTCTTCTGAGTTGCACCAACACCACTTCGTGTAAAGTGACACTTTCCATTCTAAGGGATGTAATTGATAGATAAGATGATACCACAATGGGGATAATAAGTAACAATAAAGAGAAACACCAATAGAGTAAAAATGCACAAGTGTAAAGCATTTATTATGTATACACCCTAACAAGAGAGAAGCATAGTAAAATCGAAATCGTGCTCAGAAGACGAACTTTCTGATAGTAATCATCTGACCAACATAATGTGAATGAAATCGTTCTCACATACGACCAACATAACGATAGGTTAAGACATTCTCATCTGACCGATCTGCTCATCTGATGAACATAAGACCAATATAATGATAGGATAGGTTAAGACATTCTCAGCTGACCAACATAAAGCCAATGAAATCGTTCTCACATAAGACCAACATAATGATAGTTAAGACATTCTCATCTGACCGACATGCTCATCTGACCAACATAAAGCCAATGAAATCGTTCTCATAAGACAGACATAACGAAAGCGAAGTCGTGCTCACAGAACAAACAATGATACTGAAGTTATTCTCACCTGACCAACATAAGGATAGGACAAATTAGTATCGACTCCTTTATTAACTTCTATATATTTATATGACTGGTCCATCAAACCACCATTACAGCCCATATTACCTATAAAGGCCACAATATTTTACACATATTTTTTATGGGGAAAGAGATGATTAAATCTGTTTAGTCATGCAAAAGTCCATCCAATCCAAAGCAATCCAAGTCAAATGTAGAACAACTTTACATGATTGGAGGATTGTTGTAAGAACATACCTTCCGGACCAGAACAATCGATAAGATTTTGAGCTGATAATGTTTCAAGGTTACCAGTGGCTTTGAAATGTTGACCTTCTAATGATCCCAAAGCTGCAAATGCCCAACAAGATCCGCATTGACCCTACAAAATGAATACGGATAAAGTTCATCGCAAATATGTCCAGATTTAATCAACGTCAATTTTGCAATGAAGAATCAAGTACTTCCGATGTATTTCGCAGAGCAAGCAATGTCGTAGTCATTGATAGCACTTTAATTCCTGTGTTCACGTTAATCCTATCCTATAGCATATAATATTAGGTTGCATCTTTCAGTACAGTTTCATAACAGAATCTCGCCAATTTTCTAATTCAGAATCAACACAACATCATGCGATACACGCGAAGATTCAACAGATTTAAGACGATCAACTGTAGAATAAGCAAACAAGATTGTTCAGCTTTTGATAAACAGTAATTGTAACTTTATGATATCATGATATCAACCGCTATGTTATCTGTATAAACTAATCTTATTATTCAATCATTTGTGAACTTGCGATTCCTGCCAATTAAGATCGAGTAGGCAAGGCATTGGTAGTGTTCGAAACCAGGGATAAAAGTCAACCGATTTACCGTATACATATACTAAGTAGTTTCATAAAATAAGATATTCTCACCTGACTGTAAACCGGTGTTACATATCCCTTTTTACTCCAATCAACTTCCTTTGGTAAACCTTCTACATCAACAAATTCTTTTTCCTCTGGTTTTTCATCGCTTGATAATAACCCGGTCATAGTGCTGATAAATTCTTCAAGATCCTATTACAAATGTATTGTATAGTTGCATTTGTTAACTGAGTTTAAATTTAAGTCAACATGTGAAATTGTTCATAAAACAATAAGCCGTTGGGAAATAAACTTATATTAGTGATTTTTTTTTATCAATAGCGTAAAACACGTAAAATATAAAACAGCCTATTGTTCTAATAACTGATGTAAGCCTGTAGGTACACGAGACCTTTCTTGCTTCGCCATTGCAGAGTTAGACCCTTTACATATACTTACCATGTCACCAAATTCATTCATTGCAACTTGGTAAGTAACTTCATTATCAGAAAACTGTCGATTATGTTCATTAATGAAATCGAAGTTGTCTTCCCATGTCAAACGTCTGAATCAAATGCGTTTAAAATTATTCAAGGGAAAGAACTGCAGTTTTTATATCACTGTAGCCCACAACAATTTTTTTAAGAAATGAAGTGATGTTTAACGTTCCTCTATTCTGCACACGATGAAGCTCATAGAACCGTCAATTCTATGAAATCCAACTGTCGCTGTCGAGGATCTTTTTCGTGCACAGCGTGTAGCACAAGCGACCTTTATTGTTCCATTCAAAGCACAAAGCTATATACATGTGAACTATTCCGACCTGCATCATTAACGGGAGAAACCGAGTTGAATTTTAAGCTCCACCCTCGCGTTAGCGAGAAGGCGCCTGACTCACTGATACCATAGCCCCCCGTGAAATATGTCTTATCTGCTCTTTAATGTGATAATAGTCTGGAAAAATTTGGGCCATCATATCAAATAGCGTTACGAGGTACCACTGAACTAATAACATATCTAATTATTTCACTTAGGTGGCGTTGTGAATCAAATATTGAAGTCATTATACGAAGCAAGAGACTTTTTGGACCATAAACTTTTTAAGGAATGAGCATTTAATAAGAATGTTAGTTGTTATTGCAAAGGAAAACGTCATTAATAGTAATAAATCACCTCTGAACTTCATCATCGTCGTAATTTTTGTTGAATTTTGTTTTAAATTGTTCCCATTCACCGTCTAGCTCCTGCATTTGCCCAGAGGCAAAAGCTACACCTAATATAACTACGGCATATAATGTAAACATCTGTAACATTAATTACAATTTATAACTGTGTGGTACATCCGTTTTCAGTCCAACTTGTTCTTCATTTTCAGATTGTGACGTTACTATTGCAGATATCAGTCAGGCCAATTAACCAATGATGTCAAAAAAAAAAAAAAACAGAGGCAAGAAAACATCTTGATTTTATTAATTTATGCATGCATATCCAATGTAATGGTGAAATGTTTTGTTCATTGATGCCAACTTATGCATTTTGTTTCGAAAATGGCTTTAACACTCATGTACTTATTCGTGGATTAGCGTGAATATGTATAATTAAACAATTTACAAAGTACATGTACATATTAGTTGAAATTCACGAAGAAAACCAAATTGAAAGTAAAGTTTATTACTTACCATCTTTTCCTATATTTAATATCAATCACGTGTCGTGTATTATCAGTAATCTACTGTAATGTAGATCAATATGTTGACCCCATGATATCTTTTACATCAAGGTGTACTTATTTTGATAACAAGAAAGGGGTTTCTACTGATTTCAGACAGTCATTGGTAAATCAACCTTTCCTTCTATTTTATGTGAATTGGAAAAAGGTATCAAAATAATATAGTTGAGCCCATGATATCTTTTACACCACTAAAGGTGCACTTAATGTGATAAAGAACGGAGTGTCTACTGACTTCGGATTATTTATTATTGGGATTGCACACATCATAGAACCCCGCTGCCCAATTCATGTGTTTTTCACCCCTTGGACTATGGGACTTGGGCTGTCGCCATTCCCTGTGGACTTAAATGTTTCCAGAACTCCTGGTGCATGTTTTTTCAATCCATGGACGTGTAACTGCTATGATCATTGAGCCAACATAAATGACCCATGTCCATTCTCATTTAATTTATCAGTATTGATGATAACAGCATAGTGGTGGACAGTCTAATAGATTCGTGCACTAAAAATCAAGTGTATGCCCCATTTTCACTAGTTCTTGTGTAAAATTTGATCAGGATAAACATGTTCTGCAATGATATCCTTCGCTGCGACATAGCTCTGCTTGTTCGAATACTTCATAACTAAAGCTAGAAAAAGACTGTCAATTCGGCGGTTGGTATGCGTATGGCTTTGTGGACAACCTTTCCTAAATTTTGATTGTTGATGCAAAGAAAACAGTAACAGCCTTCTCACTAATAAATATATTATCACATGATTGAAAAATAAATGAAATTTACATTGTATGGGTGATGGTTGTTCAAATGATTGCTTTGGGTGTTTGAGTATTGAAAGAGGTTGAAAACGACTGTCAACATAACAATTGTTTAATCCAGTTTTGGTTCAAATTTCATGGAGGGAAAAAGATTGATTTTAAGATAGTTAGTACTGACCTGACCTGACATTTTTCAAGTATTAGTCGAAACTGTCATCAGATAATATGAACAAGTAATCTGGCTGATCTCATTTGTTCAGTTCGTTGATTAGATTAGAATGAAGAAATGTGATTTTCAACCCTTGGTGCTCAGGAAGATTCAATGACTGACCATAGACTCGCATCGTCCCAGTTGTTCTCCGATGTATTCAGCAAGCTCGATCAAAACCAAGGAACGCCCCCACAAGTGTGTAAAGTCCAATAGTTGATTGTTAACCATTTCCAATGAAGCTGTCTTAAGGAAGAAGGAGTTTCTGAAACAAGTGTCGGCGCAATGATATGGGCACCAGTTAATAAGACTATACTATTCCGATATCATATTACATGAATACTCAATGTAGCATCCCTATATTTTAAACTAACTGATACACATCTTTTCACTCAGCCCATGGCAGTGCTCTGGTTGACATGCACAAAAAAAAAATCTTATTGTATCAATATTTTTATTGATAGGTTATGCAGGTTGGTACAAAATAAATGGAATGATAAAATATTATAATATTTTTTAAATATTTATATTTCATAAGGCATTATTTCTTGTGACTTGGTCTGTGTCTTGTTTTAGATAAACCAGTTAAAAATTCCGACTTTGATAAATGACCATCACCTGAAACGAAACAATTTTTTAAAATTTTATAATGAAATCTTCAGGGCACAATCAATCACCCAATCGAGCAGGTGGAGCTCCTCATATTACGATGTCGATTACGAAATGATGACCAATGCGAAAATGTACGGTTTTACACTGCATATTTTGAATTTTCATCATAATCTTAAAGCAGAGATAAAACGGAGATAAAAATTTGTAGAACTTCCGCAACATAGAAAATGATAATGATTGAAAGGTCATGAATTTAACTTCAAGGGATTGTAAAGATGTTTTCTAATCTTCTACGTGTATCGGTGACACTCATAGCATCAATTTGCACCATTTCAATTTTCAATCGTCTATGGTTCATCCAATTCCACTAAAACTAAGTGTTTCGCGATTAGTGACGTCATTAAACACATTTTGGAATTGCAAAAAATACAGACGTCAGTGACCCCGAAACACATATAAATTTAGAAAATCTCTTTACGCTCCCATAAATCTTACATGTGTGCACAAAATGCGAAAGATTTTGAACACAATACTGGCACATACTCCCCGCCTACATGAATAACAGTGTGATCTTATTTAGGATGAGTGCCACACAAATTGTAAACAAATGCGGAATACATAACCTTTAAGCTGTGAACATTTAAATTCGTTTTTTGATATTATATGATTTTCATGATTAAGTTTAAATATCAATATAAAATCTAACTTTAAGGTGTCCATGAATAAAGACTTTTTGTGTCCGTTATGAAATAAATGAAATATGTCAATTCGTTACATACAAATCGAGAAAATGTATATAAAAAAATATTTTTTAAAAAAGTAATCAAATAACCATGAATAGCAGACGCTTATAATTTGATTTTGCAGATAACTTTGAGAAAATGCCAGCATGCCAAGGATAATAGTCAACCACCCAGTTGTCCAAAAGCACATATATTATGAAACGATTTCTGAAGGCAAGGTAACCGCAGCCGACACAGTTTTTTTTAATAAATATTATTATTTATTCTCTTGTTTTTTTCACTTCCAAATCTTACTAAAACCGTCGAAGTTTCCGTCTACGATCTGGTATCTTTACCAATTGATCGGTTGCGTTGAACATTTAGCGGCGATCGGTGGATATGTTTTTAGATACCTATACGATATTGCCCGTGATATGGCCAAAGTAAGTTTGACTTAAGACGAGATTTAGATAATATTTAGTATTTCATGCATCAGAATTTACTTTCATGACATCTAGTTATAGAATGGTACGGGTAAACTTCAGAATTTTATCGATAGCTCCCCAGCTCAGATTTATAGTCCTTGACTTACTCATGATGGACGTGCATATATCCTTGTTATATACTATTATATCGAAGAGTTGACAAACCCAGTCAAAGAATGACTGCAGGTGTTCAAAAAAGGTGACTATTCCCTGCACAACTAGCGACACCATCCAAAAATAATAATTTAGTGGAGCTGAAATATAAGGCCTTGATCTTGGACTCACTGCTTAAAAACTATATAAGTTGAAGAATGCCTTCGGGGAACTGTTTTTTACAGTCATTTGTAAAATGAAGTGACCAAAAAATCCGTGTGAAATCTAATGAAAATGTCAAATTTGTCATTTCTTAACTCTCTGGTGAAGTTTAATTTTTAATGTCCAGTTATCTTTTCGCTTCTTGTTGTTTTTTCAAGAGAAATATTAATATTTTCCAACAATATGTCAAAGGGATAACATTATATGGAAATCCAGCCGAACCATTAATAGTGGGATATTTTCACAAAAAAAAGGTGAAGAACATTTGCTATGTTTTTTGGTAAATTTTGTTAAGAAATAGTGAAAGGCGGTAAGGGAATTCAAGACAAACGAAATTTGTCAACTTGTAATTCAAATCTACGTTGGAAAGAAAACTACTCAAATCACCTAAAACTAGTAAGAAAAACTCCGAAACACGACAAAGAAATTAGAATTAAATTATTCAGATCCGTTACGTCATGATAAACCCGGAATGATGATAGCAATTGTTAATAGTCCACTATTTGAAGGTAAATTTGAGTATTTTTATACGTTAAAATTATCGATTTAGAATTTTTTCTATTTGTTCGTTTGATCCCTCGTCGAAATTTTACGACCAGCTCATTTTTTGGACTTCAGCAAAATATCGATGGCGACTTATTGCCTACTTACCGTTTTTGTCCCATAAAAGAAACGCTAGAGGAGCTTGAAGTCCTAAATGAGCAATGTTTCTTTGTGGAAGTTCTTCATCTGAATCGGGCATTAAATCTTGGATATCTTCAACATCTAAACTATTACTACTTCTTCCAAGTCGGGGATAACTAGCAGCTCCTTTCGTAAAATATCCAGCCCTCCCAAGTCGTGGGTAAGATGCACTGTCCCCAGCCGTAAAACGTCGTTTTAACATGTCTATAGTCACTTTTCCGTCATCACCAGAGCGACCCATCCTAGGATACGTATTTTCTTTGCTGCTTGTGAAGAAGCTTCGCCTTCCAATTCTTGGGTAATCATTAGCTTTACTGGACGTGTAGAAGACACCACAACAAGACGTTGTGAACATACAAAACATTAACAATAAAACTTCTTGCCTCATGCTTGCCAGGTGGAACTGTGTTTTCTTCCTGTAATGATAAAAAAATTATATGTAAGTGAAATTTTTAATGAAAAGCATTGCCAGGATTAATTTTTTAATCTATTATCCTCAAGCAACAAATGAGTTGGACATTTTTGAAACGTGATTCTATTTACTGCTTTCGAAAAGTGAAGAAAAAACCATATTGTTGTCTATACGATTGAAGGACTTCTGGTTATCATCTCGTTGTCGTTGCGTTCTGTTTGTTCATGGAAGGTATGCCACGAAGCGAAAAGTTTGAGTCTTAATACATGTTGTCTTATTTCCATAACAGAATGAATGATTCTAGATAAGTCTTGTGTGAAAATTCTCTAAAAGTGGTGTGAATAGATATCAAATCAAATCAGCGGATGCGTGTGTCGCTAGCAATGGGGCAGTTGGTAACTTGTAACCAACTAAGGACACTCAATTGAAAGGACCTTGATAATAAATTGTAATACTAAAGTTTGTAACAAATCCGTCATGATTACGTACAAAAGACGATGATATGGTTCGACCTAAAATAAAAATAGAAGCAGCTCGACCTGCTACTGTGTATTTATATTCCCTTTCATAGTAAAAAATAAGCTTTAAATATTTGATCCGATTTTATTTATTGCCAATATTGAATCTCTGAAATCTGAACAAGGCGTGTCAATATATTGAACGTGATATACCAGTAATCAACAAAGGTTGAATTATACAATTAATGGAAACGGTCAGATACACTATGAAACATATAATAATTAAATCATGGATTTCCAATTCAGACATTTAAGCAGGCTCATAACGACAATGTACATATGAGCGATATTTATCCGATCGTCCATAGGGAGCCGTCAAAGACCAACAACCATTTACTTGTTTCATTGCAGACTAATAACTTGTCTGTTGTTAGCCTGTATAATAACATTTGGTTAGCGACAAAACTCTATAGTTTAAATATGTAGGAGAGCGTTAAAGTCGATTTAGCGTTTAATAACCGGTTTGGGATACGGCAAATAATTGAAACAAGTAAATTTACCATCTATTATAAACGTGGTAGCAAATGTTAGAGAAAGTACTTTTTAAGTGTTTTTGTCGATTTCTGTGAGCTAAATTAATTGTGAGAGTGACAATGAGGTTGTAACCACGCTTTAAAATGGTTTGGAAAAGCTTTCCATATAAATTGGTTTATTATTGAATGGATTTTTCTGCTTTATGAATTTGATATCACATTTAAAGGGGATCACAATAGCTGATGCCAAATGGCCATCAATTATTATAAGGTCCCTATATCTGGTTGCCATAAATTGTACTGAATATGTTGAAAGCTTAGCCAATCCACTATGTTTTAATCTCGTAAGTCAGAATCACATTATATTTAGGAAGATATAACCTAATATCTATTTAGGATGTGGAAATCATCACATTAAAGCAAGAATTAAAATTATGTTACATCATTGTGGGATCGACCAATCTAAAAAAAAAATTAGATTTAGTTTTATTTATTTCACTTTTTATCTTAATTTTTAGTGCTTGAAAAAAAATTATAACAGCTGATACAGCGGAGCTTCAGCTTTTAATATTATATATTTTAAGATATCCGCGTTAGACGAAAGTCTTAATTTCCACGATGATATCTACTAATTCTCATGGAGGCAAATCCATGAAACAGAAACCATTTATCTAACCTTTCACGTTCCAATAAGAATCCATCTATCAAAGTAATTTCAAATTTTACATTAATGATTAAACTTGTAGCTGAATGCTTTATTAAGTTATAATCCCTTAAAGTAAAAGACCTTTTGTTCAAAAGGAGAAGAATGAATTTTGGAATGATAAATGTAAAGCATCAGCTATTCTCTGAAAATCAAATTTAAGAGTAATTTTTTTTTCCACAATTCAGAAAGATAACTTTCAGAAGCTGTTTGTCTTCTGAATGTCTTAATAATGCAAGGAAGCCATGTTCACAGCACAAGTGGTTGGCGTTCCGTTCGCCTGTTCATTTTACGCAGTGAATTCCCTAGAATATGCAAATCCAATCAATTTCGTTGAAACACGGTATAGATATGATGTATAATCGTAAAGTTCATGAAGTGCAAGTTAACGTGATTTAACATAACGCATCTTATTTTTACATGTCGGGACCTACTTCTTCGCTGAATTACTCGACAATGTAACAATTAAAGTACAAATTACAGCTAACAATGCCTCGAGAATTCAACATTATCTATAAATGTCCTTTTTGGTTTTATACAAAGCTATCGCCTTTGACATCTAATATTTAATAGTTTCATAAAACTTTGTCTAGTTGTTGAGTTCCAGTTCTTCTTGTTCTATGGACAGTTGTGCCAAATCATAGGAGCTTTTATGCTATATTTTGTTGCTTTACAAAATGTTGTAATTCCTAACATTTTCAACAGATTTTTATTAATCTTTTAGAAATCTCCTTTTTTTTCATCTTTTTTTGTATTACTGACAACGTAGAAACCGATTTACCAAAGAAGATTTTGTTGTCACTATCCTAAACAAGTCACGCCTACGCTACTGAAATCACTTAATTGTTTTTCTGGTAATCCAACTGTACATTGTAAATATTTTTATAACAGAAAGTTCAACTCGAATGATCCCTACTGAGGCTAGTTCCGGCTCTATGACGAAAAAAAAATTGTCAGATTACGTCAATTACTTTACACAATCATCATGATCAATTCATTAAACGTTAAAGCTGTGGTGTCTTTATTTAAATTTTATTCTATTTGAGTTTTATTGTGTATCTGCTTGGTTATATAGGATTAAATTTACAACCCAGTATAGTTCTCAAAATGTAGATAAAGAAATTATCATATAAAAAAAATTAGCTTTGCAGATAATATACAGTCAAACTTGTATGAATGGTCACTCAGTCAGCAAGATCCTACGATCAACAACCGGTAGATGTTAACAGAACGTGAAAATTTACATGTCAGAAAGCACCCCCCCCCCCCCTTTGTTTGATACAACCTTTATAGCTGTTGTGCATTTAGCACAATATAGGAACTCGGGTACATTTCCGAAAATAGGTGTTTTCCCGTTGTATCCTCATACATTGTAGGTTGGCGGGTACACAATTCCATTCGCAGTAGAATTGAAATACAAAGTGGATAAACCATGACGTATGATATACTAATGGAATCTATATTTGATATAGGAATATAATCTTGCACGAATAGCAGAAATGAAATGTGATATTTTTTAGGTGGATGAAAATGTTTATCGGATTAGATGAGAAATTCGGTATCTAGGTGAAAAATCCCACCACTCAAAACGTGTAGCTTGATATTCAGATGATGATCAATGTAGTAAGCTATAATGAATTAGAAGACGGTATTTCAATACAAATGTAACCTTCCGGTCAACATTTTACTGTCTGTCCCGAAAAATGCGACCAATGCTCTGAATTTCATAATAAAGGAAGAAATCGAAGGCATTATTATCTTTCTATTAACCTTGCATAAAATCTGACATTAATCCACAAGACAACCTTGCGCGGGTGGTTCTCCACTTCCCTCGTCCAAAAACTTCCAAAATCCAAAATTGAGGTATCACATGTTGTTACCTCACTGCACGGTTGAAGATTTTTCCCATTACGAACCTAATATGATTGACGAGTGTTGCTTGCCGTTTTATTTTATTTTTTTTAGCATGATCAAAGCCAGGAACATTGTTAGGCGAATCATTCCCTTAGCTTTCATTGAATTAACTCACGTTTTTGACAAACGATTAAGAAGATGAAATGAAAGTGTGGAAGATAATGAGTTAAAATACAATAACAAGGTGATAAATTGAACAAGATTACTAAACAGAGTTTTTCTCCTCTAAATATCAATTTTCTATTCTACAAGTCATCACTAACCACCAAGCCATGTTATTAAAACCAAAAAAGGACGACTGACGAACTGTTAACATGTCATGTTTATGTCAACTATTTTGATACCGTAATGCCAATTTTTCATTGACACAACAACCACATTTTTCTTGTATTCAAGTATTTCATTGCATACTGTGATGATTAACCCGGCATTAGGTCAAATCATTTTCTTTAGAATTACTTTATGCCAATTACTTTTGTTACTATAATGCCAATTTCTCATGTTTGATTTATTTCCCAGCATACTGTGTTGATAATCCCGGTATTCACACGAATTAGGTCAATCCATGATCTTTTCAACTACTTAATGCCAATTAATTTTGAAACCACAACGTCAAATTACATCCACACAATAACTGTTTTTGTAGGTATACCATTAAACCAATAAGAACAATATTATCGCCTTCTCTATTCCTCAGCATGAAATGAACGAAAAAATTTTGGATCAGCTGCCAATGCCCTTCCTTTTGATGACTACCTTCAATACTACATGCCAAGTTTACAGCATACGAGAATCCCAATTTCTTCTATCAGATTGGCTATATATTCTAGTTCAAATTTTAATGACAAATATGTGCAGTACAAATAGTAGTAAATATAGTATTGGGTTCTTATGGTAAACTACCTTTATAATTAAGAATGTAAAAATATCAAATTCTTTAGAAATTACACACAGGTTATAGTACGGTATATATGATTTACTGTTATTTTACAAGTTTACGATATGCATTTGATATTTCAGTTCTTTTTGTTCTTGATGGAATTTGACTCCTTCTGGTATATAAGTAGGTAGTTGAACATATTCTTCAATAGCAGCTAAGTCTAGCACGCACCTTTTGTCTAGGTAACTAGTTCAATGTTGGTCAGTTATACTGGAAGGGATATAATATCGTTATTTTGGTGTACTCTTCGAAGTAGCGATAAACGGATTATTTAGTATAGGCTGATCCAACAATTCACGCAACTGTCCTTGTAGCAATGAGACCCCTACATTCTTATCAAATGGTTTGGTTCGACCCTGACGAAACGCAAGATCTGCTTTGGGTCTGGGGAGATGACTTGGAATATAAGTATATAGTATCTGTCTCTT